GACTGTAATAACAGTAAGCAGTGCTAGAAAGAGCAAGAGCAACGCGATCCAAATTAGAATGCATGCGTGCTGTGTTTATTCGGTCATTGCTGTTTCGTATTTCGACGCGGGCTCGCGCGTAGGGCAACGCTAGCAGCAACAGCGGCGCGCCATTTTTTCAATCCACGCAGTCCCGATTGACATGCATGACCAATTTGCTGCACAAAATGGGGAGGTCGCAAAAAAGCTGTTTACATGCAAGTGCTCACGGTGTCGCAAACTAGTACAGCCCAGTATTGTGAACGGAAGGATTGACACGCCCAAGCAAGGCTGTGAGCACCGTTTCACAGTCAAGGATGGAGAGGTGGTGTTTCTAAGCAAGCATACCAACAAAAAAGCACAAGAAGCAGCGCAAGCGAACACGATTCGGAAAGCGAACAAGAAGATGCACAAGCTTCTAGGAACAAAGCGTTCGCAAAAAAAACTTGAAAATAAACAAAGAACAAATTTCACCGCCAACGGGGGGCGGATAACTTTTCTTTCCAAGAGAAAGAGATGGGTGACGACTGGGAAAATGTGATATTGCTCAGGCCTCGCCTGGAAGTATCGAGCCGTGGGGCAACACCACGGGCACCCAGCTTTTCAGAAGGACAACTGGGGATTGCACGTGGCATGTGGGCTAGCTTACAGTGCGTGTTGGAGGAGCACAAGGATCTGCCGACTCTTGACTTGGCTGCGCAAGTCCTCCTGCGTCATGCCGTGCAGGCCGCCCAAAGCTGGCTGGTCGATCCGGTCGCTGGTCCTTCACAGCTTCGAGTCGAATCAGGTTGCACGAGGTTGGACGTCTCGTTGTCTCCCAGAATGAACTGTCTTCGGGCCCAGATGCAAGGCCATCTGGAAACCGTGATGGGTGCCGCGGCTATGCCAACTTGAGGCAACCAGGGCGTGAAGTGAGCTTCAATATCAAGACGGCGCGGAGTGATAAATCAACGGGGAGACATGAACATGTGCATTTTATGTTCAGTGGGGCATTCCTCCAAAAGAAAGCAAGTCAGAATGCGCACACGATGCTCGTGAAGATCATATCCCCGCACTCGACATCCCGGCCATCCCCGGCGCCGCGGGGGATGGCCCGGACCCAGCAGGCAGAAAAATACTTACGGCGCAAGCATTTTCAATTTTTTCGGGGACGGATCTCTTAGCTGTACATGTTCCACGCTGTTACCACCAACACAGGCTGAGAGGTAAAATCCATCAACCGACTTTTCTGAGAACATGGCAAACTGCTACTCCTTGAAACGTTGACATTACACTGTGCTCGCAAATTAGTTTTTCAGTTGCTCTGCAGCCAATAAACCCATCAGCTCGTATCGGCTTATCGGCAGTTAGCCTTTTTGCGTATTGGGCTTACTATTAAATTGATATACACATGACGAGCCATGCCTTTTCGCATCGTTGTGTCGTCGTGTTCGTTGCGCGTTGTTCTTGCCGCTGTGCCGTTTTTGTCATTTCGTTGTCCTTTTGCTAGGCCAGGCTCGTGCTTTGGCCTCACCTCTCACCCCTCACCGCTCACCCATCGCCTCGCACTTCTCACCTCTCACCTCACTTCACCCCACCTCACCTAACCGCTTATGAATTCATCAACTGAGAAGCGGATCTGATGGCGTTTTGGGTTTTTTGGCGTGTCGGCTGATATCGGCTGTCGCACAAGGGCCCACGAGCAAAAACTGCAGGTGTAGGTGTTCAGCTGTTGGGTGACCGGAGGCGGAGGAAGGTCAAAAGACATAATAATCCTTAGTGATTTCATCCATTGTCAGGTCATTTCTGCGTTGTTTTAAAACATGAGCCATATGTTCCTCGAAAACAGGAGTGCTTTTCGGTTTGCCATTCAAAGCCATTTGCGGAAGCCTCCGGTATTTAAGTTTACGCGTTAACACAAAAAAACCCAAGATGGCTTAATCGGCAGCCAAAGCGTGGTGCTGCGGAGAGGGCTCCCCCTGATGTCCCCCCCATGCAACTCTAAACCCGAAAGCCTAAACCCTCAATTCTAACCCTAAAACCCTAAACCCTATAACCCCAAACCCTCCCAAGCTATTTGGGAGCCCAGTAAGGAAGACATTGAACCTTGTGCTGTGCAGGAGCACAAAAAACGATTTACACCTCATTGGTTGAAGGCAAATTATGGTGCACCACATGGAAGAATCCGCCTTTCCTCTTCCGTTCAAAATTTTGGAAGATTCCACCCTTACTTCCGTAGTCTGTTTTCGTTACTGCCGTAGATGTCATTCCGACCGTCCACCGCGATGTTGATCCTGTCGCATTTTCGTTGAAGGATGGGCAGCGTCCTCTTCAAGAAAAGGCGCCTGGTCCTTGACACGAGGAGCCTAAGTATGAGCGAGTAGCATCACATAGCATCACTCGCCTAGGCTACCAGATCATGAGCCACCTCCTGCGGCAAGGGCCTGGCTTCTTGAGGCCTGTTCCCTGGTTGCTGCCCCGAGTGCCGATTGAACCGAAGCCCCGCGTTCTGCCTTCTCAGTCAGCCGTCGCAAGCAGAACTTCTGCAAGCTCGCGGTTTCGCAGCGGCAAGTGCACCTTGCTCATATTATGTTAAGAAAGGGGCGGTCATTTCAATAGACGTGGACTTGATGAAATATTTTCCCGAAAGCGTCGGCGTCGGGTTCTTCAGCGGAGGGTTCGTCGACTGGTATAGATGCATGCAAATGGTTTATAGTTCGGTGGTACCCTTGTCCCGTGGTCACGTCACACACTAATTATATGAATCCTTACTAAACCCATCATGCGAGCGTTGTGTTTGTTTTTTTGCCTTATGCTTATGCTTCAAGGCTGACGGCGACGAGGCCGAACCTCTGAGGAAGCATCCAGATTCCTGGGGCTCACGAATTCGGCTGCCGTGCAAACTTGTTTGAAGCTATTGGGGCGCAAAGTGCTTAAACAAACGCGCTGCGACCTATTTAGGCATTGGGCGGCCCAGGGTTTGTACATGCGTATATGTATCGTGCATCATGACGGAACCGAAAATCAGGTTTTCTGCCCCAGCCTAAATGCCATCTGGATGACCAACCACTGCCCGGAGAGTATCGATCAGAGCTTCCGTGGGCGGAGCCCAGCTGAGATCGAGAAGGCAGTGGAAATATGCCTTGTTAGCAAAACCTTAGGAACTGAGCGGGGCTCCAGGCGCAAGCGACAGCGGTGAGCGTGCAGGGTACGGAACGCGATGAGGGTCCGGAGCGTTCCATTTCGAGATGCTGCAGCGTAGCAGGATGTGGCCATAGGAGCCCGCGGCTCTTTCGACAATCAAGTAAGTTTAGAGAAAAGCACTCCAGTGAATATGGGCGAATGGGGGCGAAAGGGCAAAAGGTGTCTCTATCTGGCATGCTGCACCTCAATACCACTAAAAACAAGCCCAAAATGGCTTAATCGGCAGCCAATGGCAGCCATAGTGTGGTGCTGCGGAGGGCGCAGGGGGCGCGGTGGGACCGGGGAGGGGTTGGGCAGCCATTGAAGCGGTATCAGAATCAAGTTACTTTCAAATACCACAAAAACAAACCTAAAATGGCTTAGTCGACAGCCAAAGCACCGGCGTTTGCATGCATTTCAGTTGGGATCGCATAGCTTTTGCTTCACAGGTTAAGTTAGCGAAACTAAGCTAGCTAGATCCAGCGCGTAAGTTAAATTAGCCGGGCTAAGAAACACAAGCGAGAACACAGCTTCTGGGCTCCGCCCAGCAGGGGTCGGTGGATTATTGCTAGTGTTGTGATTATTGTTATTGTCATTGTTGTTATAATAATTGCTACTCTTATCATTTTTTGTTGTTAACAGCAGTATTGGTATGATTGTTATTAGTATTGTGTATTAATGTGGTAGTGTTTTAATTAACTAAGAATAAGAACAGTACCACTCTATCTTGTAGCCTTCAACCTCCCTGCCGATCCTTCGGCGACAATCTGTTCTCATCAAAGCATTACATGCGCAGATGCTCCTTGTTTTACCTTTTACCACGCCCTAATGCAAGCAGTCTAATGGAGTGTCTCAACATGATCCGTCCCGTCCAGAACCGTCAATTCCCCGTATCTGTCCCTACGATTGCTGATGGGAGACCGCTAACCTTTAAGTCTGGACCCTGTAGCCTTGAACCTTTAAATACTTCCCTAAAGCAGAACCTGTTCAAGAGCCAGGGCACCCAATTTTTCGAGTATTCCAGAAACTCTCAAAAGCACGCACGTGCGCGAGGAAGTGGTTCCTCGCGCAGGCATTGATGCGTCCGATTGCAAAAATGCATGAGCTGCACAATGCCTCATAGGCTCAGAATCCCAATCCGGAAGGCGCTGCAATCGCCTCAAGGAGACGAGACTTCGAGGCCTCGGAGGGCTGTGGCAGAGTCAGTTCCTACAATACTTCCCCAAAGGCATTGCAGGCATCAGCAACAGAAGCAACTGTTAGCTCGTCCACGAAGAACCAGAACAGCACCTGTCAAGCCTCCCACGGAATCGAGCACAGAATCCAAAGACCTGCTTGTAACGTAATTACGAAGCCTAAAGGCTCCGACTTCTGCATCTTCGTACCAAACTGACCCAAACTCCCCGCAAACCTCTGCAGGGTTCTCCGTCTTGTGCAGCTCTGGGTGGATCGTGGCATCCTCTCTGCGCAGGAGGCGCCCGCGGGCTAAATCGTGGGGATGCCGTTTGCATAGAAAACACGGCATGTGGCCGTGCTGCGGATTAGTTCGGCGAGATTTCTAGAACGGGTTCGGACGTGACCATGGTCACCGTCACCTAAAGGCCAATAGTCGTCCTGTCCGGGTTCGTCAGCACCATCTGTGATGACCGCACGTCCACGGCTCCTGCAGCCTCTTCCGACGCGAATTGTCATAGACATCGCTGGATACTGAGGCCCTGGACGGGGTCCGCAAAGCTTGCTTGTAAACAGACTTTGAATGTGTTACAACTGGGTGGGCCGTTGGTGCTAGCAGGCAGGAGTGCGCCATGGCTGCCGCAGCCATGGATGCGGCGCTTGCATCGCTGCGCAGCGCTATGGAGAGCCTGCTGGAAGAGAAGCTGCAAGCGGCCCTGACTGAGGTGGCAGCTTTGCGTGCTGAGACGGCTCGGCTGAAAGCGGAGCAGCAGGCGCTTGCCAAGGAGAGCGGAAAGCTGCGAGAGGAGACCGAGAGCCTGCGGGGCGAGCTGAAGGAATTGCGGCTGGGCCGGCTAAGCGACCCGGAGGCGGCCAGCACGGCCCCACCGGGGTCCCCCGCTCGTCGGGCAGAGAGTCCAGGGAGTCCAGCCTCAGCCTCTTCACCTGGAGCAGATGGGAAAGCAGCCGTGGAGCGGGTGCCGCTGTCACTTCGGAAAGCCTGGTACCTGGCCGCCCTGGAGCGGGTCCTGGTCCTCGAGCTCGCGGATGAAACCCAGGTCACGGAAAACAACAAGCCGATCAAGTTGGAGGAGCAGGAGGAGGGCTTGGAGGCCAACGCCGGCAACGAGACGGAGGACCTCTGGGCGAATTGGAAGCCCGGCAGCCGCCGTGATGGCCGAGACCGCGCACGTTGGGAGTGGGAGGAGGAGCTTGTGAAGAAAGCCGTGCAAATCAAAGCCACGAGCGTGGTGCATCTGCGAGCGGAGCCGGCAAAAGATGCCCGCAAGAACGGCAGCAAACTCCAAGAAGGCGAACTCGCGTGGAGCGATGCGCAAGTGAACGTGGAGGGCGTGATGTTCTATCGGGTCCAATCCGGCTGGGCGCCGCTGCTGCGCCAGAAGGGCCAGAACATCCTCGAAGAGGTTGCCTGGGATTCCGACTGGAGCAGGCAGACATGGGACTGGAAGGGTGAAGCTGGCCATGGCTGTTACGGCTACGGCGGCTACGGCCCTCAGAAGCAGTCGGGGTGGAAGGATGGAGACCGCTACGGCGGCGCGGGCCGGGCGGGCCGGGCATGGGGCAACTGGCGCGGCGGCTGATCCGCTGATCCTTTTGAAGGCCTGCGGCAGGAGGCTGCCAACAGAGTGCAGCCTGCCCCAAACAATGAGATCGCTTTGAACTTTGAAAATGCCACAGACTACAGAACAGTCACGATGGCTCCGGGATGGAAAAGCTGCTGCCGGTGTGTGGATGTTAATTAGCATTCATCTCCTCTTGACAGCCAATGCGAAAGTTCGAGCATTCTGGTCGATGTTGCAACAAGTTACTTCCGCCGAAACGTTTGGCGGATTCAGGCTGTAGTAGGTACGGAGCTGCATGGTAGGAGCTTTCTGAAACCATTGCTACTAGTACCTTACTGTTACTACTATAGATCCAAGAGCTGTTTTCTGCACGAACTGTATGCGTTCCTCTCCGGTGCCTTCGCCCTTCAGGCCGAGGAGGTGAAAGCCATCACGCCTCTCAGACGGCAGAAGTTGCATGTGTTTTGCGGATGACCCCTCTCCCTTTGAGGATGACTCAGGAGCTGCCGGGTGTCCAGCCTCCCGTCGCGCAGGCCGCCGCTGCAGCGCTGCGGCTCGCTGCCAAGCTGTTCCATACGTGCATATGCCTGCGAACACCCCTTCAATCCTGTAAGCTGATATTTCCACTCTGACGATGCAGACGCAGCGAGCCCTCGCTGAGGCCCGTCACGTCGGTGCCTTCTCCGCCTATGCCTGGGATGGCAGGCCGACGGCCTGGAATGCCCAGCTTGCGACCCGAGTTTCGTAGCCCGACCCGCCGAAAGGTGCATTGCAGCCGCCGATGAATGTGGCGCCGTGCATGGCTCCTTTCGTGGCACCGGCCTGCTTGGCTTCTTCCCACCTGGATCCTGTCCTCCGCAGTGTGCACCCGAAGATGTTTCGTCGTCTGCATCGGGAAGTCCGAAGCTCCAATCTGAAAGTGGGACAAAGCAGCTCGGTTTCAGCAGCCAGCCTAAGCCATGCTCCGATCTTGCAAGGGCTGTTTCTGACCCGTCGAAAACAAGGGCAGTTGAAAAAGTAAATCGTGGGTGCAGCTGGGGCGAAAAGGTACAGTATAGGCAGAGGTAGATCGATCCGTTTGCCCGAAACACCAGGCAGGGGTGGCCATGCCAGCAGTGTGGCAGACCTACTCTTCGACTGTCTTGGGGTGGTTTCGCCCGTGGTGCCACATGTCTTGTAAGGCCCATGCTACACGGCTACCAAAAGCAGGCACGAGCGCTGGTGCAAAGCCCCGCAGTTCCCTAGCAAGGCCAATTACTCTAAAATCTGCTTGAATATTGAAAGCACTCCGGCCCTCCCGACTTTCCCAAGAAGCGGTTACCCTAACAAAGTGGTGCAGCAGCTTTCACAAGTGTCCTGTACAGCCCACCTGCGGTCTCACGGCCATGACGCTTGTGCAGCAAGTCACGCGCAGCACACGAAGTTGCCAAAACACATTTGGAGCATGGAGCCATGCAGCGGGGTGAAAGCCAGTTTCAGCAGCTTTTTGGTGCGTGGAACGAGCCTAGGATGTCCTACCGCCTCGTCCCTCCCAGCAGTCTGCATGTTACATCGCCGGGGAGTCTTTTCATGAGCCTCTGCTGGTGATCCTGTGCATGCTGTGTGCGTGCCAGGCTGCCAAGATGCAGTGAAACTGCAGTTCTGGTGAGCAAGTGTGCGTGGATGGAAGCAAAGTTGTACGGACCCCCGTAACGGGACCCACAGTTTGTCAAAAGCACCCAATGTTTAGCCCGAAAGTTGATTTCGGAGGCAAAGTGTCAGACCCTGACGTTGTGGGGATTCGTACAAGAGGATTCAACCGTAAAATTTGTTAGAGAGTTAGACACGACTGACTAGTGCCAAAATTGTTGCATCATCAAAATCACAGTCATCATCATTTTGCCTGAGATGGCCTGCGTTAACTGAATCAATGCTTCCATCCCTGCTTCATGTTCTTGATAACCCCTTCCGCCACAGAGGTAACGCACCCCACGGCCACGAGATGCTTATTCAATGATATTAAGAACAATCAGGTACTGAAATATTTGTTATTTATATGTATGTGTATATATACACACGTTATAATATGTAGCTTATAGTATACAGAATACAGAATATAATACATAGTATAATATAGTATATAGACTTTGCCCGCCCGATGACGTGCTCAAGCCGCTTCCAAGTCCTCCCACGCCTCCGAGCGCCCCCGAAAGCTTCTCTTGTCGTTATGGCTCCCATGAAGGCGATGAAGGCCATGAAGGCCTGCCAGAATGCATGGCGCAATGGTCATGTCGAGGTTTTTGAAGCTCCGCAAGCTTCTGCACTTGTAAATTTACCATGTGGGATGCGTGCAAAACGCAGCTGTTGGCAGGCGATGAAGGCGATGAAGGCACGTCTGAAAGCATTGAACCATTGATGGAGTGCTGCGGAACCTGAGCGCAGAACCGCCGGCAAATTGCAACGTACTGGATTGTAGTGGTAGCGGCGCGGCTTAACTCAAGCAAGCTTCCAGGCTCTTCACAGTCGTGCCTTGATGATGTGTCAGGTGGACCCCCGATTATACTCTACACATTCACCTGCGGTCCCCTAAGATGCCCCATGTTCAGAAATTTGGAACTGGCTATCGGCAGGCGATGAAAGCCATGAAGGCCTGATGCAACCAATGCTTCTGCATTAGGGCAGAAAGCCCTGAGCGCAACATCCAGAGTGCCTTTTCTATGTTGCCACGCCCAAGCTGTGTGGCAGCATGTCTGGCAGGCAATGAAAGCGATGAAAGCCATGAAGGCACCAACTGCATTTGACGGTAAACTCGATTTTTCTTTTTTTGCAACTTGCAGCTTGACAGATGGAACCCATGCAGGTGGAAACTATCTTATTCCATGTTATTCTCGGATTTTGCGGGCAACGCTGTGGTAAAGTTCCGCGGTTCCGTGTTGGCTTGGGTCGTCTCGGTTATCACAATTTGCATGCAAGACGCATCCTGGACTTCCAAGCTTTGTGCCCATCCTGTCTGGGGTGTACCCCTGCATTACAAAACTCTGCTGTGAATGTTTGCGTGTGCGTTCTCTCGAGCTCTTGACGAAGACGACTGTCAGAAACTTTGTCTGGTGCTTCCACAAGTTGTACGCAGGTAGCGCTGGCAAGCTTGCTGTTACCTAAGTTTGCCGATGCAGGCCATGAAGAAGGCCGGCGATGAGGAAGCTCCCGCCATGAAGAGCATGAAGGCGATGCCGTAAGGATTTCTTGCCCACTGCGATGTCCATCGTAAAAAAAACTTGCAGTGGTAGGCCGGGGCTGCTGATGTGTGCGATCAAGATTTCTGACCAGAGCGATGACAGTCGCGTAACTTTGTTGCTCGCATCCCTCTTGTGTTGACGGGCTTCTCTCTTCGTAGCAAGTTTGTTAGTGGACACTATGTGACGGATTTCCTTCTTCCGATCTCTGTACGCACCTCTTTTCTGCTCCATGGCTACAGAATGCAGTCCTTCTAGCATAAACCCTGTATACGATATACTGTAATGATGCTTCTGTGTTTCGTCTGAGTACTTGGCAGGCAATGAAGGCCATGAAGGCCTGAACATGACAATTCCAGGTTGCCAGGTCTGTTGAAAGCCGGGATCCTTGCAACAAGAATGTTTCGTATGTATGTACTGGATATTGACACATGGGTTTGGGTTTGGGGTTCAAGGGTTTAAGGTTTCTTGTTTCGAGGGAACATATGCATGTTGATAAATTTACTGTACCCTTTTTTGAAGCCACGGTACATGTCTCTGTGCTTGTCGTTGTCTAGGTTTTTTCCAGGTAGTTATCTGTTCGGGGCCAATGCAGAATTCAACTCAGCGTGAGAATTCGTAAGTCCTTTACGCCTTGAGCACTGTTCCCCCAAATCGCAGCCCAAACCCTAGCCCTAATCCTTCAACCCCGAGCCTAAATTCCTATTCCCAACGCCCGCCAGTCCTTGCTTTGCGAAGCATGGTGCCATCGCCTCCCCTCCTAAATCATACTGTAGTGAACCGAGGTTTAGGCTTTTCGGATCTCTGGAGTTCATTTTGGAGGCTGCGTTAGGCACCTCTTTTGCTAAAGGTGCTTGTGTCGTGTTCCTCAGTTTCCACTCGTGACTTCTTCACACTTCTACGGTTTTGGTATTCAAACGCAGGCCACATCAACCCAACAGCCAGGTTGCTGCTGAGGCTTCAAGGTTTAGGGTGTTGCTCACATGGTTGTGGGCGGGAGATTCAGCAGCTCGATCGTCTTCCTCTATTCCTTATTCCAGTACTTGTAGCTTGCAAAAAGGACGAGCCTTTTCCAGCTTACTTCTGTGAAGTACAGGCATAAGGTTGCAGGAGCCACTTTGCGTCCCACGGCTCGATTCTACAGCAGATGTGCCATGCTTGAAGCCGGTTGCCGGGTGCGGCTCTTGCAGCCATCCTTGTCCTGCAGGCAATGAAGGCCATGAAGGCGATGAAGGCAGCTCGTCGTGCAACCTTTGCAACTAAAGTAGTTTCTTCAAGTGCAGCAGGGGTGGTGGCCTGGCCAGCAGGGTTAACGGTAACTGTACAGGTATCAGCACCCTGAGAGCACAGCCCGTTCAATCATTAGTCTGTCGTACACATTGGATGTACGACGATCTTCAAGCCCCAAAAAAGCATTTCCTGAGGCCATGAAGGCGATGAAGTGAGTAGTTTTGGCCCGTTTCAAGGTGCTCCAGGTCCTTAGGGCCTGACATGATGGCGCCAAAGGGCTTCGTCTGTACAGCAAAAAAGATCTTATGTTTCCGGTGTTATCTACCAGGAGAACACAACCTAAGAACAGCCACTCCCCAGTAGCATGCGGCAATTCAGCACTCTACAAGCTAGAATTCTTAGATAGCTTGCACAGTCTTGCCAAGTGCGCTTCGGTCAGGGGGTGAGGATTTTGAAAGAATGCTGACATGTACTTTGGAACATTAACGAAAACAATCTCACATGCAGTATGGTGCCTGACAGACAATCTTCGGGCAATCATCATGCTCTCATGCTGTCAACCTCTGCAGGCTTGCCAACGGAAACATCAGCGCAAGAACAAGGGACCGTAACATCAGCACATGGTCAAAAACGCGACTCTTCTCTTCTTCTCTTCTTCTCTTCTCTGGCCGCTGTGAAGCTTGTCATGAGCCTTCGAGCTTTCAGATCTCTGGGGCGCAGGTTTCCTAGAAACCTTTGTGCACGCAGTCCTTTACGAGACACTTCCATTTTACAAGCTACTGTATCTTCATTGACCTCCGGTGGTGGACCTATTGTGATGTAAGAGCTTGCAGAACCCTTTCCCATTTAGGTGATAGTACCACGAAGCCGCACATGAGGCGTTTGTTCCTTGAATCCACATGCATCACTGGAAGTCATCATGTTCTCATGCTGTCAACGTCTGCAGGCTTGCCGATGCAAACATCAGCGCACGAACAAGGGACCGTAATATCAGCACATGCGTCAAAACGTGACTCTTCTCTTCCCTGGCCGCTGTGAAACATGTCATACGCCTTCGAGCTTTTAGATCTCTGGGGTGCAAATTCTTCGAAGCGTTTGTAATTTTGTAATTGCAGTCTTTTGCACGACAATTCCATTTTCCAAGCTACCCTGCTTTACAAATGCTGTCGTATCTGCGAAGCCATGTAAGCTTTACACATTGGCAGCTTTGCAGCGGTCTCATCGTCCGGTTCCGGCCGAGAGTGAACGTTGGATATCGATTGAACCACAGTGGTGCACAAACCTTTGCCAACGTGGTGAAGGAGCTTCGCGCGAAAGGTAAGTTGCCGAACGGGGCCAGCGTGCCTGAGTTCAGCACCACACCTGGGCCAGATGGCGGCCCACCTGGTGGCTTTGTGGACATTGATGCTGCGTTGCTCGAGGAAGCAGATGCCGAGAGCCTGGATGTAGCAGACCAGGATCAGTTTTTCACTGAGCAAACCGAAGAGGAGCCACTAGAGGATGATAGACACCAGCAGGCCGTGGCAGCTGCTCGTTTAGCTCGCCAGAAGGCCTTTGAAGAAGCTGCTCAGCTAAGCGAGGAGGAGCTCAGACAGCGGGTGAGGAGATCCATCGAAGAGCTTGTGCCAGAAAGCACCGCAAATGCTGAGTCTGGGGACTCCGAGCTGACCCCGGCCCAGGTGTTCTACCTCGAGAATCGAGAGCGTCTAGTTTCGCGTGCACAGGATTATTACCTTGAGAAGCACCGTGAGCTGCAAATGCAAGATGAGCCCGGTGATGTTGAGGACGAGTGGCGCTACTACCACGATCCGGTCGTGCGCCCTCCGAAGGGCCATCTGTGGTCGACGGGTCTGGAAGATGATGGCGATCACGGCCACGAGGGTGATTGGTTGCAAGTTGTAGAGACCTGGCCGAAAGGGCATCTCCCTGCGCCAGAGCTCCTTGCGAACCTGCTAAGGGCTGAACAAGCCCGTGACATTAGCATCATTGATTTGGATGAGTGTGACCGGAGAGACGTTGGAATGTATGCCATATTGGCAACAGGGATCACTTCCAGACACTGCCGCAGGCTTGGGCAGATCATGGCAAGAGCAACAGAGTCCTGCCAGCCGCCATTTGTGGAAGCCTTTTGCTATGGCACGCGTGATGATGAGTGGGTGGTTGCACACTGCGGTCCTATCAAGGTTCATCTGTTCACACGTGAAACTCGCGAGCAGTATAAGCTTGAGCTGCTCTATCGAAACCCAGAAGAGTTTTTCCAGCCGGGGGACTTTCCCCACTATGTGGAGGTGTACGGCACAGCAACTGAAGCAATGCTGCTGAATGGTGGCACACACATCACCAACTCTTTGGGATCTCGCAGTCGGTCGCAGATTCCTGCGCCTTATCGAGATTTCCTTTACGGAGATGTCATGAAGCCTGATTACGAAGCTGCGGAGGACGCGAAGTATGTAACGCCTCCGCACGGTACGATTGATGTAAGTGCGAGAATGTCGTCGCCTGCAGACCGTTGGCCGGCTTCGGAGGAGTGGGAGCTGAAAGATACTTCTTCCGTGTCCTGGCCAGATGATGCTGGAAACTGGCGTCCGCCGGCTGGAGCAGAAGCGGACACGGACAGCGAGGACGAGCGAGACGGAGAGGTGAGCCCGTCTGAGCATGATGACTCTCCGTTGAAGCGCTTGTAAGAAATCAGACCCCAGAAGTCCAGCAACGACTGTGCGTGTCCGGTCTGGTCTCAATTTGTGTACGCATCTCTGCCTTGAATTTGTGGGTTCGTTATTCGCGAGTTGTTCGACCAAGTGAGTCAGTACGAAGTGCTTTTGGCGGTAGGCCATTCGATTATGGAGTAACTTAATGAACCAAGTGCATCCAAGAGTTCATGAACCAACAAATGAACCGATCGAGGGATTCCATACCCGCCTGGGCAGGTCGAACTCACGAGTTTCCCTCGATCCGGAGAATGAGTCGGTCAGCCAATCAATCCGTGGATGATGGAGTCATTCTTTTGATTATCTTGTTTGGTTTGCATACAAACATACCTCTATCTAGAGACACCTGCACAGATCAATGACTGTTTATGAAAAGTCATTGATACTGACACACCCACACACACACACACACACCACATGCCTACCGATGCTGCTCATGGCGCTTGGCTCAGGCTTGGCCTTTTAGTAATGCAGCCTGTCATTCCGTCATCAGGGGCTCGAAGCATCTCGAAGCCTTTTTGTCATGAGTTCCCCATGGCATCAGCTTATTCCTTTATTCCTGAATGCAGATCCACAAGCCGTGATGCAGATGACACGGCACCTATGGCCTGCCTTGTCGCTGATCCCGGGCTTGCTTCCCATCGTTTCCGGGTTGCACATGGCTTGACACACATGAGCAAGATGGGTACACTACTCATAAAGCCTGCTTGAATACTTTCAATGTCAAGGTTGCGGATAGATGATGTCTACCGCAGATGTATTTGTAGCCGGGGGTGCATGAGATCAGTCTTGGATATAGCATCACGGACCCTTAGGAAAGCACGAGCCCATCAGCTAAAGACAGTCCCTGCCTTGGGGTTTAGGCTTTGGGTTGAGCTTGGGACTCATAGCGTGTATGGACTTCGGGGGCAAGGGCTGAGAGGCACTGAGAGGTTTCAGCTGGGAGGCTTCAACGATGGCCCCAGTTTGCAGTCTTTGTGGTCGGTCCCGTTGCTCGACGGCCCGGCTGCCTTCCAGCCCGCTGGCCCCAAACACCACAACTTACCATCATCACGACCACCTGCGACCACATCCACTGCCACTGCCACTACAACTATAGCAGCAACAACAACAGCATCAGCAACAAGAGTAAGATCAAGAGCAATAACAAGACCAATAACAAGAACAGCTACAGCTAGAACTACAACTAGAACTACAATTAGAGCCAGAACTACAACTGCAACAGCAACAACAACAACTGCTGCTACTGCCACTGCTCCTGCTACTGCTAACTGCTACCTGCTCCTGCTGGCGCTCCTGCTGCTATTGTTACTACTACTACTACTACTACTACTACTACTACTACTACTACTACTACTACTACTACTCCTGCTGCTACTGCTGCTACTGCTGCTGCTACTACTACTACTGCTGCTGCTACTGCTGCTACTACTACTACTACTACTGACACTCAGAGGCCGCAGGAGATGTACTTGGAGGAATGCAACACCAACTTCTGAGTTCCGGGGACAAAAGCAGGTTTGAGACACACTGTGTCTCAGAGGACTACCTGACTGCGTCCTTGCACCAGTAAGGACACATATAGGTGGTTGTCAAAATTAGGGTCCCCTTTTGGGTACCCTAAATAATAGGTGCCGTATTATAATAGGGACCCAAAAAGGGACCATGATTTTGACAACCACCCATATAGCCAACAACGAGCATCCGGCTGAGGTGACGAGCGTTGAGCCCATCACAAAGCCAGAAGCTTGGCATGCTGGTCGATGCTTGTCGTGTGATTGAACCCAAAGATCTTAGGGTCCCCAAAGGGGTTCCTAAAAAGGTTCTTCTTGTAAGGCTCCCTGCAAGGGCCCTTAGCAGCAGGGCCTTCTCCGATAAGAAGACCTTCGGTCAGGCCTCCTCCTGATGTGGCCGCCTTTGCTGCAGCAATTGCACTTGACGCGCTGGAAGACGTGCAGAGGCCGCAGGGTTGAGGATCCGGGGTTGAGGGCCTCGGGTTTGCGGGGCTTAGGGCTTAAGGTGTCGCGAAGCGTCATGGCGGGCAGCATGTCAATGCGCGCAGAGGGCTTTTCTATCGGAGCCAGAACACATCTAGTAGATGGCGGCTGCAGCAGCTCTTGAGACTTTAGACAGTTCTTGTGCAGGTGAACAAGAAGCATCGCAGAGTCTTCTGCCTAGCAGACTTGCGTTTGTACCCCGGCAGGCTGGAAACTCAGATTACAGCGGACGAGAGCCGGCGGTTGACAAGCAGTGTGGAAAACTCAGTCTCTCTCATGCGCTGTTGGTCAGGCTTAGCTTATCTGCTTCGTGCCAGGTTTCCTGTACAGGGTGCTATGATGAGAGAGCACAGCATTCAAAGTGGAAGACTTCGTGTGGAGAATCAATGGGAATCATAAGCAACTGCAAGGGCAAGCAGACCATCTCAGGATGTGGGGCCTTTGGAGATCTACTCGTACATCGACGAGTCTTTAGGACAGATTTCGCAACTTGCCGAGATCTGCGTCCTGATGTGTTGTCGGAGGACTCTTGATCGACACAGCTTTGGCAGCGGTACGCCATGCGGTGGCTGCAACTGCTGGAAGCGAGCCGAATCCGGTCCTCACGTCCGAGGACGTCTCCTTGCTCTTGAAGTCTAAAGCCCGAGCTCTCGAGCTCTCGAGTCCGAAGGCATCCTTGCTGGAGAGGCAGCTCAACAACATGCTGGGGGCCCAATCCAAGGCCAGGCACAGACCCGTGAAGAAGAAGCTTGGGCTGGGACTGAGATGCTCTGATGCTCAGGAGCCTCTCTTCTTTTGGCATGGTCCGAAGCGATATGTGTCAGCACAGCCCGTTCCCCACTACAGTGACAGCCTACGCAAGAGTAGGTCACTGCTGCTCTCGGCTGCTTCGGAGATTAGGTTGCAGCGAATCTTCGGAAGGGGGCCTTGGCACGAGAAGCTCAAGGAGCCTCCCAATCTTTGAAAGATGCGGAAAGATGTGCCTCAGACGACCCAAAGCACTGCTATTGACAGAGGCGTTCTTGCATGATCCTGCAAGCGGTGTAGCCCCAAGACTGAGTGGATGTGCGAAGTTGACTGAATGTTGAGATCAGGAGGTGGCGACGTCGGCTTCTCCAAGCCTTTCGGCTTTGGTGGGAAAGGCCTGGAAGTGTGAACTCAAGTTCTTGCCCTGCAGACTGTGTTGCTTCTTCTACTTTTGAAAACCATCATTACATGCATTTGCATTTGAGCCAGCTCATATTTCATTTATGCAATAAGAAGGCACGCCGTGCAACCCGCACGAGAATCAGCAACTATGATCAGAAGAACTGGGGGTATGCAAGCATGCCACATGACAATGATAGTCCGGATAGTTGCCTCTTCACACCCCCGACGGTCACTCTGGATAGGGCACGACGCGCACGTTTACACTCAATTCGAAGAGCAACAGTAGCGGATCACTGCTTCCTGGGAAATGATTTCAGGTGGGGTAGGGGGCTAAATGATTACGAAATGCCATTTCCAGCCCCCGAGGATCAATGGAAAGGGCCGACACGGGTCGTGTTCCAATGTGATGCATTGGATGTTACACGATTGCCACAGGGGAGGGCTAAGCCTCCAGAGTGAGACCTGACAGCAGCAGTAGCACTAGCCGTAAGAAGCAAAAGTAGCAGATGCAGTAGCAGCAGTAGCAGCAGCAGCAGCAGCTGCAGCTCGTTAGTCGTAGTCGTTGTGGTGGGAGTGGAAGTGGTAGTGGTCGCAGTGGTCGTTGTGGTGGTAGTAGTGGCGGCGGTAGCGGTAGAAGTAGAAATAGATGGGAAATAGGTCGAATCGCAGCAGCAGTAGTAGTAGTGGCAAACATGCGATGAGAGCAACCGTCAGCCCAAAGCACTCCAAGCACTAAGCCCCAAAGATCCCCACAGCCACTAAAAAGCTTCGCCTCTCCGGGAGGTCGGTCAGGACACTCGCAGATCACCTCTTCAGGCCCGGAGCCCGGCACATCCTTGCAGATTGAACTCTCATGCAGCCGCTGACAAGAGCCCTGAAAGAGACCTGAAAGAGAGCCCTAGAGGCCCAAGGGCCCTAACCCAAACCGTAGTCTCGTAATCTGCGGCCCTGACCTAAACCGTTATCAGGGGCGGCTTCCTGAAGTTGGCCTTGCGGTCGATGACGGCTACTGCTCCAAAGGCGGGTCCTAGCAGAGAAATCACGCTCTGACTTTCGGAAGCGTGGAGATTCACCTCCACCCTTCTCTTCTTGAAGCACTTGTGGCTGTCAGCCGCAAGCATGGGCACAGAGTGTTTAGCATGCATGATTTCAACAACCAGTTGCTGAACATACGAGTTAAGCATGGTCATGAAGCCGATGATCAAGCAAAGGAGTATGAACATTTTAAACATCAGCAGTGCGACCACTCCACAGGGACCAGTCGCCGCCTTCGTACACACCGCATCATGGCTGGCGAAGCTCTCAAGCTGGACAGCGGCGGTTTTGTGGCGAGACCATTCTCTCCTTGGCTTTGTTTGTCAGCGCCGCGCGTGGCGGGCAATCCGGCCTGAGCATCAAGGGCTCCAGGAGGTCTGAGGCGTGTGGATAGTCAGGGTCGAAGGTTGGAGTGGCCTTGGGTGGGGGGCACAGACAGGCTTTGCCTGTATTGATCCGTGGCATTGTCATGTCCTGCGGCAAGTAAGCATAGCTAAGCAGGCAGAAGCTTCATCTTGGAATCTGAGCTTCAGAAGATTTCGCTTTTGTTGTTGGCCTGCTTAGCTTGCTTCCTTTCGCACACAGAGGCGACGAAAACAGCGGTGTGGCACCCTATGCAGTGTTGCATCTGCGGATCGACAGGGCTTTTGGCCTCCCGGCCGCCGACTTCACGGGCCTCTCGGATCCCTACGTGAACGCACAGCTGAACGACCACGCTCTGCCGGAAGTTCGGACGAAGACCCGGACGCAGACTCTGGCGCCCAAGTGGGAAGAGGAGTTCCACATCCGAATCTTTCGGCCTGGCAGTGTCCTGTCTGTCTACGTGCATGACGAAGATTTCGGAGAAGCCTCGAAGATCGGCTTGGCAGGCCTGCGCCCTGAACCCTAAAGTCAGCCGCCCTAACGCATGGAATGGCCCTCCCTAAAGCAAAAGCCACACGAATGGCTCCGAACCCGGAAACCCACCAGGAGCCTTCATGGGTCTCAGTGACGACTTGCTGGGATATGTGGACATCTCTATTGAGCGACTTCCTCTGAACACGAAAGTCTGCGGCTGGTTCAACCTCTGGGACCCAAATGACCACAAGCATCGTTTACTGAACTACAAATCCAGGGCCGCAAATCTGGAGCAGGGCATCCGTCCACAAACAGTCGGTCGCATTCGACTCCAACTGACGCTCCACGTTGCACAGCTTCAGCATGAGTTGTTTGCGCATTGCTTGGGGCCTCCGGCCTTCGAAGAGCCCCAGCACCCGCTGAGATTTGCGAAGCTTTTTGGGGACGTGTCGACCATCTCTCACCTGATCCAGGACTTCAGCTCTCTCTGCAGTCCGTTGGCAGAGCAGGCTGAGCGCTTCAGCAGCCTGCTATGGTGCACAGTGATTCTTCTTGTCTGGAGACCAGAATTCATCCTCCCCCTGCTCAGCTTGTCGTTGTCAGCGATGCTTTACGCTGCCGGTCGGCCAGCTGAGGCGCCTCCTAAAGGGAACGAGGAGCAAGACAACTCGGATGAGGACTTGCCCACCCCGGAGAAGGAGGAGCCGAAGAAAGCCGAAGAAGAGACCATCGATCCAGCCCTCGAGAAGGTTTTTGCAGCTGCAGAAACGAGTCTTCCCCCGGAGCAGTACAGTGATTTTTCGACGGTCCAGACAAATCTGGATCAAATCGTCGGGATGGCTCGGAGCTTCGAAGCGCTCAAGGCCATGGTGCTGCTTTACAGGCTGCCCGTCTGTGGGGGTCTCTGGTTCCTCACCGCGCTGCTCATTTATTTGAGAGAGTGGCAGGGCCTGTTGATACGCTTGCTGCTGACTGCCGGCGGTGGCTTTCTGCTTGTTGACCAGTCTTGCATCGCTAGAATAGTCAGAGCTTTCGCGGCCTACAGGACCCGCAAGACTCTTCGCAGACACCATGCATGGGGGTTTGATGGTGTAGTCCGCAGTCATGTCCACTTAGTAGGCCTCAGTGTTGCAGTGGCATGAGTTCATCTCCGTCACCTCCAAGGAAGCCCTTGAGGGAATTCCAGCCGCACGACGTTCAGGGTGCCAGTCCCAAGACTCCAGCGGCTCGGAGGAACACACAAGTACTGACTCCGAACGCTGTGGCGGCTCTGAGCAACAGCCGACTTGGCTGCCACAAGAAAGCAGTGTTTGCCGGGAGTTGGACGAGACTTATGCAAGTCGCTGTAGGCTGTAGGTGTGTTTTATTGTTTGGTCTGCTCGCCTATCTCTCACTCAGGTCCTGCCAACATCCAATCCGACGGCAAGCCAATGCAACATCGCTTGCAGGAAGGCTCCTGGACGGAGCCCAAGTGGTGCCAGCACTGTGGCGGCTTCCTCTGGGGTGTTTGGAGGCCGATCCCAGCTCACCACAAAGAACTCGCCACGCGTGTTACTCCGCGTTCAGGTTTGTGATTGGTCCTTGTGGGAATGCCTTTGCAGTCCCCTGCTTCAAGTGCTCTTGGAATGCTCTTCTGGTGTTCTTGTTGTCAGGGGGTGGGGAGTTGGAATGTTGCTGGAGTCTTATACTCTGGGAAGGCGTTTCTTGAAGGATTTCGGAGCTGTGGCAGCGGCCACCTGCAAATCCCAAAATTCCGATCGCAGCCAACCAAGGGTTTCCAAACCTACAAAGCCTGAACGCCCAGTGTGGGCGCAAGAATCCCAGCGCCGTGTTCAGAGCCTCCTAGCAGTCAAAGCCCAGTGCCGCCGACTGCGTTTGGATTTAGATCGTTGAACCCCGACACTGTGATGCGGGTAGCGATCCACTGAGTTCTCTGCCAGACTATATGTATGCGAGCATGTCAGGGGTCACACAAAAAGGACAGCCCAGGGGATTGAAGCGGGTCTGCTGCTACAGAAGAGGTATTAGTCACAGCCAATGTAATAAGTACAGCACCAGCTGTTAGTTGATTTTTCGGAGGATGTCTTCTTGAAGTGGTGTCCCATCGGGGTGTGGACAGAATTCCCTGTCAGGCAAGGTTGGCAGTGCAGCCACTGCTCCATTATCCTGTGCCACACTTGTGCCACGGACGCTGACCTGGATTTCTGCTCAGGATTTGAGTAGATTTGGAACTCGATGGCAGCTTGACTTCTCTTGCGGAAGGGATTTTCCCAGGCTGTCATGTCAGATTCCAACTGCAGGCCTTGCCCTTAACCCTTTGAATGCAAGCTAGTCCTTCACTTTTCTAGGGGTGGCCTGCTGTAGTTACTGCAGTTCTTCTGAAGCTGGGCTTCAGCTCCAGATTTCCTGGCTCCCTTGTGCAAACACAAGCTCCGCCGGCTCGCGCGATCTACAACCTCAGCGCCGGCAACCGGCAACCGAGGGTTCAACGATCTGTGGAAAAAAAGGCGCTTTTTTGACTTCTTCATGGATCCTTTCAGATTTCAGTCTCCCAGAGATAAGAGATGTCGAGTTGGGAAGGTGAACCCTGCGGCCTGGAAGCCGAAGTGCAGGCGCTTGCCGCTCTGAGCAAGAAGGCCCGGGGGACGGGGCCTTTCTTTGTGATGGCAGGCCGGTCGCGTGACCGCCAGATCGCGGGTTGCAGGAGTTCCCGAAGAGCGACGGCATCGTTCATGTGATCATGCTCACCATGAACGAGGTGCACTCCTCTCCCGACGCCCATGGCTCCGCTTTGCCGTTTTTCGACCGGAGAGCCCTCTTGGAGGCCTCTTTGCAGCGCCTGGGTTCCCTTCTGGGCCCTCTGAAAGCGAAGCTCTTCGTCTCGGCATCTCTGCCTCCGGAGCTCTTCGATGCCCTGGATCCAAGGGAGGCGTCCTCTCAAAGACAACGGGGGACAGCGAGTTCATGCCGGGGCCTGCGCAGGCTTCCAAGCCCGGAAACGTGGCTCAGCTCATGGACTCCTACATCTCCAGCCTCATCAAGGCGCCTCATCACCGCGCGATTCTTGAGTTCTTTTTCTGCGGGTTTCTGCGAGGCTACGGGCATCTCAATCGACTTGATCTGGCTGCCCTATGCTGCCTTCAAGACCGGGCCCTGAGCTGGGGCAGAATTGCGGCCTCGAGGGGATACAGCTGACGGCTCATCCAGGAAGCAGTACTGGACTGGCACGCAGAAGATGCTGGAGAAAAAGCGGTCCTGGAGTTATGGCATTCGAGCCGAGGCTGGGAAGACTCCAAAAAAACTGCTCTGCTTCGCGTGTCTAACTTCACCCGCCTGAGGTTCACCAAGCCTCGGTTGTTCAGAAACTGCTGGTGCGAAATCCTGCTCCAGTTGCGTGGCTGGCCACAGATGACTTGCTGCGGCCAGTGCATCAGGATCCTTCCCGGCAGTGAGAGTGTTGAGCTTATTGAGCTTTGGCTGCTTCCCTTTTTGTCCGCAAGTGCCAGAGTCTTGTGCCACAGAGGATTCGGTTGAAGCGGCGCGTCAAGCGGGCATTCCTTGTGTGTCTTTCCCTCGCAAGGAGGTGCTCGAGGGAGTTGCTGGGAGTTTCGAGGGCTGAGTGTGTGACTATTGCTTTTTGGTTTTGTCTTCTTGTTGTTGTGATGCGTTGATATGCTTCTTCATCACCGTTTCGGTAGCTATCCAGGTGACACAAGGCTTTGCTGCGAAGTACTTCGGAGCTGCAGGTCTCAAGAAGGACGGAACGTGTTCTGCGTAGATCTTCAGACTGCCTCAGAGTGTTCACTCGGCAGAGCTGTTGAGCTGGCCACACGAGATAGAGTAGCACCTTGCAGCAGCCTTCTGAAATGTTGCAACGTTTTGTCACATCTTGGATTTCAGCAGGTTTCTGGTATTCGGTTGTAGCCCAGCACAGCGCGGCTCTTGGAAACTGCAAGGAGCAATCTGTCCAAGTAGCACAACTTCATTGGGCCTGGCAGCGAGGAGATCCTGGGACTTCGTGTTTTCCATGCGTCACAGTGAGAGCATAGCCTTTTTTGCGATGGGCACCCATTGTGCAAAGTGTCCGTTACAGGCCTCTCTGCAACTTGGCGCGGCGGCGTGCTGCAGCCCGCAGAGGCGCCCTACGGTTTCGGGTTTAGCGGGGTTAGCGGGCTTAGGGACCCCAAAGAGGTAAGGGAGCATCAAGCAGTAGGAGCATGAATTTGGACCTGAAGCAGGCACAGTTCGACATGCACGTGCTCAAAGCAGCCGCGTTTTCGTCGTCACATTCGCAGGCGCAGGATGCGCAGGCTAGGATTCTGAGTACGTGTCTCAGCCGTTGAGCTGCAGGCAGGACACGAGCAAGTCCCTTCTGATTCGTGGAGTGTTTCGTCTCCGCTGGAGGCGTTTTTCCCGTGGTAAGATGTGAAGAAGCTCTTTCTGCTCCGAGTGCAGGCAGCGTTGCACAACAGCAGGCTAGTCTTGCAAAAGGCAGAGGCCGGGTGTCACACTGCGTGGAAGTTTGCTGCAACAGTTGCCGCCTGTCTCAGACGAGGTGCCTTCCACCGGCGCCTACAAGGACACGCTTCCGCGTTGAAAGCCAAAGAACCGTCGAGTGCTTCGCAAAGATGCAGATTTTCCTTTTGACAGGAGGCCGATGTCAGCTTCACTCCTGGCGTGTCCGGGGCCGTGCTCAAAGGTGCCGTCTAGAACCAGAAGCCCTAGAGCCCGAGACTAGCCTAGGGCCTAAACTGCACTGTGAGCCCCGGGCTGACAAGCCTTCCCTGCCCCAGTTAAATCACAGGATTAGGAGTGGTAAGCTTCCCGCAGGCCTTGCGGATCAAGCGAAGACCTTCAAGGCTGGCTGAAGTTGAGCTCCGGTGCGTGTTCTTCCTCGTCTTCTTCTTCTTATTCTCTCTCTTTTTGCCTGCGTCTGAAAGTCTGAGATATTCATGCGTATGCAGATGCGCATGCACGTATGTACGTACGCACAGGCGTAGGTAAGCGGGGTAGGTGCTGAGGCGGAGGAGTAATCAGCGCGGACTTGAGAGGCTCGGTTCATTCTTTCTTCCTCTGTTCGTGCTGGTCAAGTTTCTCCCATATGGGAGAGGTCGTTGTTTCACGGTCGTCGGCAACAACAACCCCCCCCCTCTCTGCCCTTGAGATAACCCCTCCCCCCCCTCCCCCCCTTGCAAATACAAGCCCCGCACCGTGGCAGAGCCGTCCTAGAAGACATCGTGAAGCACGTCCAGGACCCTTAAGTTTCAGGCAAATGTCGGTGAGGGACAGTCATCAGCCGGCTTAAAGCGCCCAGATCTCCCTACTATAACTGCTCATGATGCTGATTCATGGCCTTTCTGGGCTAGCTTGTACGAATATGTGTAGATAGAAATAAATACGAATCAGTATAGCACGTTTCCGACTGTTCTGCACGTACAATGTACGGCTTTTCAGCAGTGAGGGCGGTGCAGCTGTGACACGTCGGATCTTCAGAGCAGCCCCACAGGCTCCAGAAATAAGAAAACACGACAGGAGACATGCAGCAAGAAAATCTAGAATCTCATGAACCACTGTCCTGATGACAGAACTTCACGTTGCGCGATCGCATGCCATGAGCCACGATCACCTGCCCCAGTGCTTGATGCAACTAACCCCGAACTACGACACATGTCTGAAACTGAGCTATCGTAAGCCTCCAGCTGGCCGGCTATGGCTTTGCCAGCGGCGCCGCTGGCATGGATCAGAAGTTCCTGCTCGAGAGCCGGGGCTCCTGGCCACTTTCAGTCCTTGCATTCTTCCGTGTGTAAATAAGCACAGTCCGGCGCTGCGCTGCGCTGCAGGTTGCTGGTCCAATCGCACTTGGGAGGAGTGCTGCGCGGTGCCTTGGTCCGTTTTTGCTGGACTTGAGGCCTTAGGAGTGTTGTGCCCTGCAAGGTTCGCTCCGAAGCGCATGGGACGGGTTTGCAGGACTGCTTCCCGGGCAGCTTGGCACAGCTGGTAACGCAGTGAATCTAGGAGCTGGATTGCGCCAAGCCAAGGCGAGAGAGCTCTGGCTCGGGAGAGCTGCTGCAACGTCACGGAAGCACCGGGACCAAAGCTTTGCTCTCCCTACGATGGCCCTTGACTCCTAGACTTGGCAGGTCCCCCGCGATATTTTCAGCTGCAGGGACCGAGGGCAGGAGTGGCGGAGACTACGCACCGCGCTGAGAAGGAAAGCGGCTGGCGTTGCATGTCGCAGGACGTCGTAGTGTAATGCTCAAAGACCCTGATTCTGACAGGTATGGGTATAATCTATGCGGCACCCTTGCACCAGCTGCCTAGTCCAGAAAGGATGAGGTCGCACCGGCTGCAGTCATCTTTGCCTCTTTGTGTCTGAGTGTGCATTGAAAATTAGTCAAGTGGCGTGCTTCTGAGTGCTTGCTGGGTGCTCTACTGGCATCGCTGCTCCAGTTGGGTGTGGAAGGCGAGTCCGGTTGGCGAGTCTGCTGAGTTTGCTCGTGCTGGTGTGCCTGTGCGTGTGCCTGTGAAGTCACTTAATTACATGACACAGCCTTCTGTTTCAGACGGCTTCGGCTGGTGTACTGATGACCGCAGCTTGAGCAATGACATCTGGTGTCATGTCGGGTCGTCTGCACGGCATCCCTCGTTGCGTCTAGCTGCCTAGCTCTGCTGTTTAATTGCCAGCCATGAACAATCATCCCCGTGCTGCCGGCCTTCAGAAGCCAGCAAAAGCAACCTTCGCTGCCGTGGGCCCTGGGCTGGGCCAGGTTTCTTTACCGGCGATGGCTTGAGCCAGCGGGTGGCTTTGGGTTTCCAGATTGCGGAGGAGCTCTTCACTTTGGTGCTGAGGAGCCAGCCTTGTGTGTATTCTCTCTGCACCAGACTCTGGCTTGGCTTCTTGACATGCTGTCGTGATTTTGTCTTGCTTGTCTCGGGTTCTGGGAAACGGTGTGTGTGTGCTGCAACAGTGAAGTTGTGGGATCGTTCTACGTACAAAGGGCCTTTGCCAAAAGCCGGAGTGCTGCAGGAGTCCCATTTTTGTGAACGAGACTCTTGACAGCATCTGCACATCTCGACTTGTGAAATTTGTCTTCGGCAGTGGCCGAGACTCAGGATCATGCTCAGCGGGTGGCACTTGGGTGCTGTCCTGCCGTTCGTGCGGCAATTTTCCGACATGGAACATCACGCAGGCGCACACGGAATCGCGCAAACTTCGTTAGGGTTTGCTCAGGGCTACGGCCATCTTCTCGTCAGCTTCTGGCCGAAGCCAGATCGTTGTAGGCCCCTGGCTACATGATCCATCCGTTGGCAGTGAGAGGAGACCCTGAACGGGATGGCTCGCCCGCTCGTTCCAGCACCAGAGCACAAACGAATCAAAAAACGTTGGCAGTGCGAGGAGACTCCTGTCGGTGCCGGAGGTTCACTGCCAGAGGCCAGCAGGCTTTAGGCACAGTCGCATCCGGTGCGTGCAGGCCTTACCAGATGATCCCGGCCTCCGCATCCCGCAGGACCTCAGCGTGCCATCTTGCCCAGTCCGTGATCGTGTGCGTGACAGGACTTGACATTTGCGACCATGACGTCTCCAAAGTCCATCAGCACACGGGCCGGCATCGCTCTCGCTGGCGCACGGATAGCACCTCATGTTGCGTTTTTGCACTTTGTCAGGTGGCCTCCTGCGTGGCTTCCTGGTCGGCAGCAGTGAACTTCCAACGTGAGGCACGGCACGGGACTGCCAGCGGAGGGGGGCGCGCTCGCGAGAGCGAGCGAATGCAATCTTTTCCTTCCCGAGGCGTGGCGGACGGAGACTGCAGAGGACGATGCCATGGAGGCCTGAAGTTGAGTGGCCTCGGGATTCCCTTATGCGGCTTCAGCCTGGCTTGGTCTCAGGAGGTCTCAACGCTCCTGGCGCTCGGTGAGACGCAGCTGAGGAGTGAACTCCTGCCAGGCAGGGGAGGGGCAGGGGAGGATCATAGGCCAGTCGTTCTGGTCGGCGGTTGCTGACTGAGATCTATTATTGCAGCTCCAATCATCCTTGACGTCTTTTGCGAGTTTAGTATGCATGCAGCCGCTGTCTTTCGTCCCTCCAATTCCGGACTCCTGTGTTATGTCCCAGTTTCCGGATACTCACAGACTTGCGCTGCACATCTGAAGCTTTGATGCAGAGGTCGCCCTGCTGCGCCGCTGAAGAGATTGCTCGCTGTACCTCCCTTCGTGCTCCACTTGTTCCAGGCCGTGATGGGTTTCCACGCTACAGAACCTGCTAGCCACAGCTGATGCAGTCATTGTTGATTGACCGAGCTGGCAGAAGAGAGAACATACAGACGCATGGATTTGTAAACTTGCTCACGCAGTTGCAAGGTGCATGCTTTGAGCATTATGCTCAAGTTTTTGGACACGAGTCGCCCCACGACGGCCAACTGGGATTCTTGTGTGCTCGCAAGTAGCTATGATGACCAACCACGTGCTGTCGGGTTTGAGCTTGCCGCTCGTCCTCCTTGGCATCCATGAGGCTTGGACAGCAAGTGTGCCAACGGCCGGTTGCACCTGCATTTCCAACTCTCTCCCGCCAGCAATTGTGGGAGCTGGAGAGCCTACGATCCAGGCAAACGTCAGCGGGAATCTTGTGCCCTATCCCGCATACTATGGCAACTACTGCGGCAAGCAACCTGAGCCAGGTTCCTCGTCGTGCTGGAACCTGACGACGGAAACAGAGCTTCCAGCAGACCAGCAAGCAGACTTCTGCAATGAGCCTTGGTGCTACGTCGATCCTTGCACCTGTCCCGGCGCGGCGCCTTCCTTCTACTTCCCAGGGGCGGGGCTCTACTACTCCTACTCCAATTGCGGCGGAACAGATCCGTTCAGCAGCGGCAGCCAGGTCATAGATGCCGGCTGCGTGACGGAGTACATCCCGGTGAATTCCTCAGCTTGCGAGCTAAAGATGTCCAATGCCCAGGAGAGGATCCGCTGCTTTGATGACTTTGGCAAGGAGGACAAGTGCATCTTGGCACGGCCTGGAGGTCCGGGCACTCTAGAAGTCCCTTATCCTCCCACCTATGGTGAAGGATGTGGAATTCACCTGGAGCCTGGAGCATCTAATTGCTCTGATCAAGATGGAAACCCTTTGCCGGAAGGCCAAGCAGCAGCCTGGTGCAGAACCCCTTGGTCCTACGTTAATCCATGCACCTGCGATGCTAGTGACATTGCCTTGAGTGCGTACTTCGACAATCTCTACTACAGCTACAGTGTCTGTGGAGGTACCGACACCTACACTCAGAGTCCATCAAACGTCGACACCGCTTCCGTGGGCTGCCCCGCCCCACCCCCGCCACCAGTGAGCCCAATGAACTGGCCTTTCACAGGCGCACTGGAGCAGGATTGTGAGTGTCTCCCAGTGCCGGAAGAATATCTGATCAGCTCCACGGATAGTTCCTGTGAGCAGGGCACCGGCAAGTGTGCGAATGCCAGCGGCCTGGGCCTGCTTACAGCGAACTATGGCGCCTCCTGCGGAGTCCATGCGGAGTTGTTCAGCTCGAGCTGCTCTGACGACACGGGGAAGATGTGGGCAGACCAGTGTGAGGTGCCCACGTGGAATGTCGGATGCCGGGCTCTGTGGTGTGATAGGCCATGGTGCTACGTGGACCCTTGCAAGTGCAAGTCGGTGTCGGACATTGCTCTGAGCGCGTACTTTCCCACGCTCTATTATTCTTACCAGAATTGTCAGTCTGTGGACGCCTTCACTCCGGCCGGCAGCAGCTCCGTGGACCTGAAAGAAGCTTGCAGCAAGCACGAGTATAACAGCAAGCATCAGTATAAGAAGCGACGCTTCCTCCGGCAAGTGTGGCACCGGCACCAGGGGAACGGCTACTACTCGGCTTCGGAGCTTGAGACGGAGGAGAATCCCTGAAGCACCTGCTGAAGTTTTGTTTTTGTTTCTGTCTTGTGTTAAGAACTCTGCATGTTGGCCTGCCCATACCCGACGGCCTGTCGTGTGCGCAGGACTCCGCCTTCATGCAGGTCTGGGATGACGAGGAAACGGACGTGTGGATTTCTGAGACAGATGTAGATTCTGATCAGACTGAGCTTTGAGACCAATGGCATCCGATAGGTATCCCATGGTGCAGTACTCGTGTGATGTTAGCCGCCACCCGGGCTATGGGAGCTATGGGGCTCCAGCTCTTTCCCGCAAAAAAAACCACACATAGTATGCATGATTGAAAGCACGGTTTGGCTCCAACTTTCACTTGTTTTGGATAGCGCCCAAGCCCTGCGAAAGGCTAACTTTTATCTATTTTCCACATCTGGGGCACCCTCTGGAGGAGGGCTGCCCTGCTTTTAATGCTTATAGATTACGTAGAGCAACAATGACGAGACAGAGACAACATGCTTGTGAACTTCCGAGCTCAGCATAATTTCCGAGCAGAAATGCCGGCGTGAAGGCGTTGTTGCCGACGGGCGACCGAGGATCTCCATGCTTGCCAAAGAAGTGCTCGCGAAGTGGGTCTCAAGGTCAGGTGATCTCATGCAGCAGCGTCATGCAGTGTCTGCAGTCTCAGTGTCTCAGCGTCTCAGGGCCACCGGGGCCGGGGTCCATCCTCTGAGCTGGTGGGAGGTTGGTGCCAACCAGGGCGACTGCAGCGCCTTGGCTTGCCGGCTTGCTGCTGTTGGTCGCTGTTGATCGTTAGGCTCCGCTTCTCGGAGCGGCCGTAGTCACCCTTTTCAAGGCACCATGGCGGTCCAATGCGGTCCACGAACTTCCAACGTGAGGCACGGCACGGGACTGCCAGCGGAGGGGGGCGCGCTCGCGAGAGCGAGCGAATGCAATCTTTTCCTTCCCGAGGCGTGGCGGACGGAGACTGCAGAGGACGATGCCATGGAGGCCTGAAGTTGAGTGGCCTCGGGATTCCCTTATGCGGCTTCAGCCTGGCTTGGTCTCAGGAGGTCTCAACGCTCCTGGCGCTCGGTGAGACGCAGCTGAGGAGTGAACTCCTGCCAGGCAGGGGAGGGGCAGGGGAGGATCATAGGCCAGTCGTTCTGGTCGGCGGTTGCTGACTGAGATCTATTATTGCAGCTCCAATCATCCTTGACGTCTTTTGCGAGTTTAGTATGCATGCAGCCGCTGTCTTTCGTCCCTCCAATTCCGGACTCCTGTGTTATGTCCCAGTTTCCGGATACTCACAGACTTGCGCTGCACATCTGAAGCTTTGATGCAGAGGTCGCCCTGCTGCGCCGCTGAAGAGATTGCTCGCTGTACCTCCCTTCGTGCTCCACTTGTTCCAGGCCGTGATGGGTTTCCACGCTACAGAACCTGCTAGCCACAGCTGATGCAGTCATTGTTGATTGACCGAGCTGGCAGAAGAGAGAACATACAGACGCATGGATTTGTAAACTTGCTCACGCAGTTGCAAGGTGCATGCTTTGAGCATTAGTGCTCAAGTTTTTGGACACGAGTCGCCCCACGACGGCCAACTGGGATTCTTGTGTGCTCGCAAGTAGCTATGATGACCAACCACGTGCTGTCGGGTTTGAGCTTGCCGCTCGTCCTCCTTGGCATCCATGAGGCTTGGACAGCAAGTGAGCCAACGGCCGGTTGCACCTGCATTTCCAACTCCCGCCAACAATTGTGGGAGCTGGAGAGCCTACGATCCAGGCAAACGTCAGCGGGAATCTTGTGCCCTATCCCGCATACTATGGCAACTGCTGCGGCAAGCAACCTGAGCCAGGTTCCTCGTCGTGCTGGAACCTGACGACGGAAACAGAGCTTCCAGCAGACCAGCAAGCAGACTTCTGCAATGAGCCTTGGTGCTACGTCGATCCTTGCACCTGTCCCGGCGCGGCGCCTTCCTTCTACTTCCCAGGGGCGGGGCTCTACTACTCCTACTCCAATTGCGGCGGAACAGATCCGTTCAGCAGCGGCAGCCAGGTCATAGATGCCGGCTGCGTGACGGAGTACATCCCGGTGAATTCCTCAGCTTGCGAGCTAAAGATGTCCAATGCCCAGGAGAGGATCCGCTGCTTTGATGACTTTGGCAAGGAGGACAAGTGCATCTTGGCACGGCCTGGAGGTCCGGGCACTCTAGAAGTCCCTTATCCTCCCACCTATGGTGAAGGATGTGGAATTCACCTGGAGCCTGGAGCATCTAATTGCTCTGATCAAGATGGAAACCCTTTGCCGGAAGGCCAAGCAGCAGCCTGGTGCAGAACCCCTTGGTCCTACGTTAATCCATGCACCTGCGATGCTAGTGACATTGCCTTGAGTGCGTACTTCGACAATCTCTACTACAGCTACAGTGTCTGCGGAGGTACCGACACCTACACTCAGAGTCCATCAAACGTCGACACCGCTTCCGTGGGCTGCCCCGCCCCACCCCCGCCACCAGTGAGCCCAATGAACTGGCCTTTCACAGGCGCACTGGAGCAGGATTGTGAGTGTCTCCCAGTGCCGGAAGAATATCTGATCAGCTCCACGGATAGTTCCTGTGAGCAGGGCACCGGCAAGTGTGCGAATGCCAGCGGCCTGGGCCTGCTTACAGCGAACTATGGCGCCTCCTGCGGAGTCCATGCGGAGTTGTTCAGCTCGAGCTGCTCTGACGACACGGGGAAGATGTGGGCAGACCAGTGTGAGGTGCCCACGTGGAATGTCGGATGCCGGGCTCTGTGGTGTGATAGGCCATGGTGCTACGTGGACCCTTGCAAGTGCAAGTCGGTGTCGGACATTGCTCTGAGCGCGTACTTTCCCACGCTCTATTATTCTTACCAGAATTGTCAGTCTGTGGACGCCTTCACTCCGGCCGGCAGCAGCTCCGTGGACCTGAAAGAAGCTTGCAGCAAGCACGAGTATAACAGCAAGCATCAGTATATCAGTATAAGAAGCGACGCTTCCTCCGGCAAGTGTGGCACCGGCACCAGGGGAACGGCTACTACTCGGCTTCGGAGCTTGAGACGGAGGAGAATCCCTGAAGCACCTGCTGAAGTTTTGTTTTTGTTTCTGTCTTGTGTTAAGAACTCTGCATGTTGGCCTGCCGATGCCCGACGGCCTGTCGTGTGCGCAGGACTCCGCCTTCATGCAGGTCTGGGATGACGAGGAAACGGACGTGTGGATTTCTGAGACAGATGTAGATTCTGATCAGACTGAGCTTTGAGACCAATGGCATCCGATAGGTATCCCATGGTGCAGTACTCGTGTGATGTTAGCCGCCACCCGGGCTATGGGAGCTATGGGGCTCCAGCTCTTTCCCGCAAAAAAAACCACACATAGTATGCATGATTGAAAGCACGGTTTGGCTCCAACTTTCACTTGTTTTGGATAGCGCCCAAGCCCTGCGAAAGGCTAACTTTTAACTATTTTCCACATCTGGGGCACCCTCTGGAGGAGGGCTGCCCTGCTTTTAATGCTTATAGATTACGTAGAGCAACAATGACGAGACAGAGACAACATGCTTGTGAACTTCCGAGCTCAACATAATTTCCGAGCAGAAAGGCCGGCGTGAAGGCGTTGTTGCCGACGGGCGACCGAGGATCTCCATGCTTGCCAAAGAAGTGCTCGCGAAGTGGGTCTCAAGGTCAGGTGATCTCATGCAGCAGCGTCATGCAGTGTCTGCAGTCTCAGTGTCTCAGCGTCTCAGGGCCACCGGGGCCGGGGTCCATCCTCTGAGCTGGTGGGAGGTTGGTGCCAACCAGGGCGACTGCAGCGCCTTGGCTTGCCGGCTTGCTGCTGTTGGTCGCTGTTGATCGTTAGGCTCCGCTTCTCGGAGCGGCCGTAGTCACCCTTTTCAAGGCACCATGGCGGTCCACGTGCTTTCTTCCTGGGGGAGCCAAAGCAGACAACCGCGGCTGTGCAGCACATCAGCACTCTGTGAGCACGGCAGTGCCCAGTAAGCCAGTACCAGCAGTACTAGTGATGCCGACATATGCGACATGGTGCAGCGCTAGGGTATGCTAGGGTGGTGAAGGATGTAATGCAGAACGCCCAAGACTGCGCAATGCCCGTGACACATCCAGACGTGTACTGCTACAACAACTACTACTACTACTACTACTACTACTACTACTACGACTACGACTACGACTACGACTACGACTACAACAACAACAACTACTACTACTACTACTACTACGACTAATACTGATACTGGTAGTAACTGATAGCAGTGTATTCCAGCTGCGCCTCGAGAGCTTAGGCAGAGACGAGTCCGTCGGCGAGCTTTGCGGATGCGTGCGAGACCGTGAAACAACGACCTCTCGAATCCATATGGGTAGTTGTCAAAATTATGGCCCCTTTTTGGGTACCCTACATGTTAGGTGCCGTATTACAACAAGCACAACAGGGACCATGATTTTGACAACCACCCATATGCTTGTCGACAAGTGACCGGTGATGCTACGGCTCCGGTCCAGAGTTTCCCAGACCCCAATGGAATTTCGGGTTTCCGAAAGCCCAACAGAGGTTCGGGTTGCTCAACTCATGAGCGGACCGACCAAGAAGGGCTCTGAAAGCTTTCTCTGAGGCTGGGGACTCCCACAGAAACGCTCGCACGTATAGTTTTACAGTTTTTTCGGACAGATGTATAGAAGTGAATGTACGTATATTTCATGTAAAACGCACAGATGTGCACATTCATCTTCGTGCTTCACCTCTTGCAGGCGAATGATCATATCATCTACGCCGAAGACTTCTTCGATCCGGAGACCTTCGCGGCCATCAAGGCGACGGGATGGTTTCCGACTTGGCGATGCGAGAGCAAAGGGGTTTAGGGGTTTAGGGTTTGGGGCCTTTGATGTTTCGTCGTGAGTCAGCCGTCGGAAATTCACTTGGAGGTTGCTTTGCTAGGTTGCAGTGTACTGTGTAAAGGTGCTTCAGTCCTCTGTATCACTTCTCGACATTCCGTTTTCTGCATTGGTTGAGAGCTCCGAGAACACATCGACGACACCGCACGCGTGGCAGAAATGGTGCCGTTGTGTCTGGATGTTTCCGTTCAGCTGACGTTGGACGACTTCGACAGGCAGAGACCGACAGATTATGGCGGTCTGAAGATATCGAGGCCGGACCTTGCAGATAGCGCGCGGCATGGCTTAGGTCTCAAGGTTTGCGATCTACAGGGGCGCGTTTCGTGTTGTGCGGGTTGTTGCAAGGCGAATTGCAATTTGGACGGCACCAACAGACTTGGAGGCCGCCAAGCTCGTTCGGGTACCACTTGCACCAGCACGGTTTGAGGAAGCCGGCTGCCTGTATCCCCAATCCTAAACCTACACCTTAGCATCATGCAGAGGCTACGTCCTTGACCACTTCCCTCGAAACTCCAGCCTTTACCGCTTGATCTACGGCAACCTGGCAGATTCTCAGACTCTGTCATACTGGAGCGTATATATTGATTCAGACAGTATGTAAGACAACTCGATATGTATATTGCGGCGCAGCCGCACCCTGTGTAGCCCGGGTTCTTCTTTTGCCGCCCGTCTGGCCGGGATGCGTACAGGGCTTTTTGAGAGTTCAGGAAGTGTCATCATGGCAACACGAAGCATGATTATCATTTATTGTATAAGACACCTCGAGATACATATCTACATTACTGGAAGCTGTGTAGTCTTAATTACAAAGCATTGACTATTTACCATGTGCTACATGTTGTATAGGTTACTTACATACATGCATACAGCATAAATGCACATATGTGTATAGAGTGCTAGCCTTTTCAGGCGTAAACTGGGCAGATCAGGAAGCCATGGGTCAGAACATTGGAGGGAGATTTCAAGAACATACGCAGGGCAAGTTCAGACAAATTTTTGGCATAATTCAAGAATAAGGGACCGCGTTTTGCAGAAACAACATCTGCACGCTGCATTTGTGTGTGGCTGCCCGAATGCATCCGTGGCAGGCATTCATTTCTACATACTCTAACTTCCTGAATTTCTGTAGCAGGTAGAAATGCATGGATACGATTGTTTTGTCGCATCTGACTTTTCTCCATGATGTCGTATCTACAAACAATGATGGGCCTCCTTCAATACATGTTGCCACTTTGTTTGGGAAGCCGAAATGCATGGTGATTGTACACCGGGGGGGGAGAGGGCTGTCGGCATTCTTACTACCTATCTTCGGATGTGGCTTGATCTGATTGCATATGATTGGGGATTGTGTATTCAGCGTATTCCATATACACTGACGGGATGTTGAAAATCCAGGTGAATGTGTGCCTTTAGATGGTAAATAGAAATGCATGGCGATCCTGTGGGGGAGTTGGTAGCATGGCTTGGCTTGGCTTCCGCGGGGGTTGGGGGGGCACCCTCCCCCCATGCGGACTTCCCGATGTGCTCTTGATTTGATTTGACGTATACGATTTGGGTTTGTGTATTCCATATACAACGATGGACCGAAATTCAGTACATGTGGCAATATGCATTTAGATGACGCCTACAAGTGCATGGTGATTGTTCGGGTCGTCCGTTGTCTTGCTTGGAACTGTGCCTTCCGTATGCAACGATGGGCCCTATTCCGGTATGAATGGCTGCATGCATGTAGTTGGCACGTAGACATGCAGAGTTCTTGCAAAACTTTCCTATATCAGTCTGTTGTTCTCGAATTTCTAGTTTCTCGAATTTCCCAACGCAGTGTTCGAACATAATGCAGTGAACATCCCAGCACCCTATACGTATATACCTGTAAATACGTCTATGCATTCGTGCATCATTCATTCATTCATTCATTCATTAGGTCGTTCGTTCGTTCGTTTATTCATTCACCGTTCATTAGTAGCTATTCCGCGAGTTCACGAAAGCTGTGTCAGAGAACGCTCGTGGGACCAACTCACCTTTGCTGCTGCCCATCGACGTCCGCTGTCGCTTCAATCCCGAGGGCATGGGCACAACAGCATCGCTGCAGATGTCGACCTGCGTCTTTCTCCAAATCCTGGATTTAAGGCAATGACCCTTTCCGACAATGGGTTTCGGCCGTGAATGCCGAGGTGGTCGTTTGACACAGAGCCAGTCCCCGGTTTCTGTATTTGTGAAAGCACTGCAGGGACCCATGTGGCCGTCCGATTTCCCAATCGAAGTCCGTGAGTATGGGCGTGGCTCTTACGTCCACAATTCGGGGTTGGGATCTGTGCACTCCATCCGTGACAGGAGGCAAAGCAGAGGAATGGGATGCCATCCGGACTTGCAGATGTACAAGGACACCCGTGAAACTGCAACGAAGGCAAGGGTGCAGCTAGACTATTTGCAGGTGCCTCGCAAAGACCTGGAGTTCGCCTTCACAGTAGACAACGACTCGCGTTGCAACGTGACTTTGGCAGCGATATTAATAATAATAATAATAATATTATCTCCCTGAGATGCATCACAGCTGCTCGGGATAATTGTAAGGTCAGCTTCTGGGACGCGGCGGGCAAGCCGTGGCCTTAACCGATTGTTGGGACACTTCCAGCTGTCGTATTTGCTGTTGCGCGAGCCCAGGTTGCATCTTGTCCAAACCAAGCCGAATTCCGTCATGATGGTGGGTCAGACACTGGGTAGTTGTGCGTGCTTGCTAGAATGTCGATGAACTTCGTCTTCCTCCGAGGCGTAAATGCAGCGACGCATTGTGTCTCATCAACAGATGGTGGAACGCGCACGATCTTGAAGTTTATATATGTGCTTGGATGCAATTGCGGAGTTACCTTGTTTCTTCTACGTTACGACGACTGCGCCAGCTACGCTGCTCAACTTTGTTTGCTCGAATCTCAGGTTGGAGATTACAGAAAATCCAA